CGCGCCAGTTCGAAGAAATCGTCAAACTGAAGAGCACAGTCTAGCCCTCGGACGATCCTGAAGGCCCTGATCATATCTCCTCTGTACTGCCTATAAGAGAGAGGAAATATTTTTAGCTTTTCCAGCCGGCTCTCACATGGTAAGTTACTTAATCCGCCGACCAGCTTGGTCGCTCTTCGTTGTACGTTCTCCAGTAGGGTGTAATCTTGTTTCGTCTAGGGACACCATGCCTGGACACAATATTCCAACATTGGTCGAGCGTATGCGCCAAATACTCGGCCGAAAAGTTCTTCATCAAAATTGACGAAGGATCTTCTAATCGCGCCTAGGATACCCATAGCTTTCTTTGATACCTTGGCGCAGTGAGACGATGGTTTGAGAGTTGACGTCATCTACACACCGAGGTCTCTTAACTCCTTGACTGATTCGAGTTGATGACCTCCTATAAAGTACTGAGTTTCAAATCTCAACGGCCTCCTGTTGTTCGAACGTAATCGGATATGTTGGCATTTGTTAAGATTAAGGCTAAGACACCACTCATCACACCATTGTTGCAAGCGATTCAAATTGGCTTGTAACTGTACAGAGTCTTCCGGCTTCTCTATTGAATGCCACAATTTGAGATCGTCGGCAAACATTACGCGCTCGCAGTTCAGACAGTCCAGGCAGTCGTTCACATATATTAAGAACATAATTGGACCCAGAACGCTTCCCTGCGGAACGCCGCTGTGCACGGATGTCCATTCCGATTTATCGTTGCCAATGCACACACGCTGAGATTTACCCGTAAGAAAATCGGCTAGCCATTTCAAAAGATTTGCATTCACACCCACTTGACGTAGTTTACATATAAGTCGTTTGTGTGGAACACTATCAAAAGCCTTTTTGAAGTCAATGTACATGGCGTCGACTGACAAGCCCGTGTCGATTGATTTCGTCCAGCTCTCCATGGATACTAAAAGGTTAGTGAGACAGGATCGACCTCTTCGAAATCCATGCTGATGTAAACTGAGCGAGTTGTTTTCTTCGAGGTGCCGCATCATCTCCGTTTTTATTACTTTTTCCATCAATTTGCAACAGATGCTTGTGAGACTCACTGGTCTGAAACCTTTTGGGGCTGTTCTCTCGCCCCCTTTATACATGGGGCTTATACTTGCTTTCTTCCAGACGGTAAGCAAAGCCCTGGTCTCCATCGAAGTTCTGAAGATCCTGGATAACGGAGAGACCAGATGGTCTGAGAGTTCATTCAGGACTTTTGTGAACACATCGTCCGCAACAGGGGATTAAGTGAGCTGTAGTTGCCTCGAAGTTTTCCTTACCGTGTCTGTTGTGAAGTCCACCGTGCTAATTGTACTGTCTGTTTTGACAATTGGGGGGTAAACTCTTTCATCAAAAGCCGGCTCCTCGGCATACACAGACGTGAAGAAGTCGGACAACAGATTCGCCTTATCTGAGTTGTCAGACAGCGTATTGCCTTGGCGATCTTTTAGGCAGGGAATCCAGTCTCGGTTGCGAAGGGTTTTTTGACAAAAACGGCTGTGCATAGTTATGCTGTAAAAGCCGATTTCTGTCGAAAACTAGACGAGCAAGTTTTCTTTTAAACACACAAACTGTGTCAGCCGTCACCATCTCGCTTGGAAGCGAGTTCCACGGTCTGACAACCCGCTGTCTGAATGAAAATTTTCGACGATCTAAGCGCGTGCGTTCATTCAAGACCTTGTAGGTATGTCCGCGTAGACGGTTTGTACGGGTAAACTCAAAGAAGTCCTCTGCTCTTAATGAACAACCCTGGCCGCGAACAATCCGGAACGTCCAGAGTACACTGCAGTTTTTTTTGCCTATACTAGAGAGGGAACAGGCCAAGGAAATTCAGCCTCTCCTGATAAGACAAATGCTTTAGACCGTCGACCATCTTTGTCGCTCTGCGTTGCACCTGTTCGAGGAAGTTGATATCCTTCCTCATTCATGGTAAAGCTCCTGGCATTCCATATTCTAGATGAGGTCTTACAAAGACACCAAAGAGTCTTTCAAAGAGTTCGGAATGAAATATTTTAAATGCACGTCTGATCCAGTGTAGAGTACTGGTTGCCTCCTGGACCATCTTTCTACAGTGTTCTGATGGCGATAGATTTGTGGTCATCCATACACCCAGATCTCTGTGTCTTTCCACAGTTTCTAACCTCGTCCCGTCAATATAGTACTGGTGTTTGGGAGAGGCATTGCGGCCGGTGTTCAGGTGCATAACTACGCATGTGGACACGTTAGACTTCAAAAGCCATCTGTTCGACCAAGCACACAGTTTGTCGATGTTCGACTGGAACTTCTCGGCATCATCATCACACTTGACTTCAGTCCATATTTTTATGTCATCTGCGAACATGAGAGCCTCGCAATTCACTTTGCTGATGCAGTCATTAACATAAATCAGGAAGAGTACTGGGCCTAAGACAGAACCCTGTGGGACACCACTTTCCACCTTTGCCCATCCCGAGGTAGATTTACCAACGACGACTCTGTACTCTGGAGGACAGAAAACTCCTGATGCACTTAAACATTCTTCCTTGAATCCCTACATCCCAGATCTTTTGTAAAAGAAGCCTGTGTGGGACACTGTCAAAGGCCTTCTTGAAATCAAAAAATATGACATCCACCGGAAAACCCACATCAGTAGCTCGTGTCCATTTCTCGTGCGAGTTAAGAACACTTGTTAGGCAGGAGCGCCCTGGACGAAAGCCGTGTTGGGCATCACAGAATATTTTGTTCTGTTCCAGGTATTTCATCAAGTGTCTTTTGATAATGCGTTCCATTATTTTACAGGCGATGCAAGTAAGACTGACAGGACGATAATTTCCGCACACAAGTCTTCAGCATCCTTTATGGTTCGGAGCAATGAGTGCGCAATTCCATTCTTCCGGTAGCTCGCCGTCTTCAAATGACTTTTGAAATATTGCGGATAAGGGTTTGCACATTTCATTAGCAAGTTCAGTTCAATTTTGTTCAGTTTATTGAGGGAAATAGGCGTAAGCCTTTGAGTACCCTATTTTGAACGTAAAAAATGTGTGGTGTACAGATGATGTTCTGGGCTAAAATAGTTCGAACACGCCCATAATGGTGGGACAAAATGAGAAGGAGTTACAGGGGGTGAGCTCGACTTCTCATCGCTCTTGGTCATTTCGGAACATAAATATGTCCAGATTCTTCTTAAAAATTTGTATAGATGGTGACATCACAACATCTGCGGGAAGCTCATTCCATGGTTTGACCACCCGAACCGAGAAGGAGAACTTCCGCACATCCAGCCGTGACTGCTGAGTGCGCAGTTTTAACGGGTGACCTCGGAGGTTGGTGGTGGTAGCGAATTCAAAAAAGTCCTCGAAGGCCAGACTGCAATCCAACCCCTTTACAATGCGGAAGGCTTGCAAGAGATCTCCGCGAAGTTGCGTGTAACTCAAAGGAAAGAGGTTCAGATTTACTAGGCGGGTTGCATAAGGAAAGGAGTTTTGACCCCTAACCATCTTCATGGCTCTCCTCTGGACTCTTTCGAGGCAGTTTTGATCCACAACGGCCCACGGCCTCCAAGCTTGTATGCCGTACTCTAAATGCGGCCGGACGAATGTTCCGAATGTCTTAGAGAAAGCTTCTTCGTCAAAGTCAATAAACGCACGCTTGATGGCGTACAGTACGGACATTGCGCTTTTTGCCACCCTCGAACAGTGGGCGGATGGTTTTAGGGAACTCGTCGTAAGCACACCGAGGTCCTTTTGGGCTTCAACCTCTTGTAGGGCTGCACCGTCCACAAAGCAGCCTCTTGTGCTGGCGGATCTGGCTGTGTTGCCTAGGCGAAGTATGCTACATTTGGCAACGTTGAACCGCAGGAGCCAACGGTTTGAGCACTCCTCCAACCGATTCAGGTTCATCTGCAGTCTGTCTTCATCGGCAGGACCCCGAATTACACTCCATATCTTCATGTCATCCGCAAACATTGCTACTTCACAGTCTAAATCTCTTGCGGCATCGTCCACGTAGATAAGGAACAAAATGGGTCCCAGTACTGAACCCTGGGGGACACCACTATCGACCATAGCCGGATCTGATTTTCCCCGACCGACGCACACAAACTGCTGTCGACCCACAAGGAAGTTTTCGATCCATTTATGGAAGTTGCCACCGGTCCCTATTTTTTTCAGCTTATGTAAGAGCCTTTGGTGTGGCAGTGTCGAAAACCTTGTGGAAGTCGATGAAGGCTATGTGGACCTCGTGCCTGTCGTCGAGAGCTCGGGTCCAGCTCTGGAGAGATTGCAGCAGGTTTGTCGTGCAGGATCTTCCTTTTCGGAACCCATGTTGGCATTTCGATAGCAGGCCGTGAACTTCCAGGAATTGCATCAGTTCAGTCTTTATGATCCTTTCCATAACTTTGCAGAGAATGCATGTCAAGCTTATGGGCCGGTAATTTGTCGTCGCTGCCCTGTTACCTCCTTTGTGTAGCGGAGTAATATGCGCCAGCTTCCAATCAATAGGAAGTGTTCCAGTGTCAAATGACGTTTGAAAGAGCATCGACAAAGGCACCGAGAGCTCACGGGCAAGTTCCTTGAGAAGCTTGGGTGGAATCTCGTCTGGTCCTGGCGACTTCGATTCGTTCAATGCCTCTAATTCTCTTCGGATAATGCCTTCTGAGAAGGGTATATCACCGACGCTTGGGGTCGGCAGTTCTTCTGTGGATGGGAGGAAGGAACCTTGCCTCGTTTGTGTAGACTGATTGGAAAAACCGTGAAAAATACGCAGCTTTATCCCTACTATCAGCGATCTCAACGCCATCAGTAGTCTTTATCAAGGGGATTTGATGCCTGTTCCTTGTATTTCGTCGGAGGTAGCTGTAGAGCAATTTTGGGTTCTGCGTTGCTATTTGTAGCAAGTTATTCTCGAATTCCCGCCGTGTCTGAATTATCAGCTTCCTCAGTTTGTTCCTGTGTGTCTTGTAGGTGTTGAAGCATTCAGCTTGTCTAGTGACGCAGTATTTTCTCCACAATTTGTGCTTCCTGTTCGCGAAGTGCTAGGGCGGGAATTCTATCTGGGGCAGACGATTTGGCAGGTTTCATCCGGAGTAGCTCGGCCCTAACAACTGTAGATGAAAAGAGTGGTTCCTCGTTTAAGGAGGGTAGGGAGGGGACAGGAGGGGGAAGGATAATGGGAGGAGAGGTTGGTTGACGAATGGATGGATGGGCATATATAGAACTAGGTTCTCGGGTAAAGACGGACTGAAAGAAGTCGGAAAGGAGGGATGCTTTAACCTGGTCATCAGTCTCCACTTTTCCATCTGCAGACCTAAGAGCAGGGATCAGCTATTGAGTCCTTTTAGTACTTCGTATATAGCCATATAGAATTTTCGGATGCTCCAACGAATTTCGGAGTATGTTCAGTTAAAACTTCTTTCGCAGCTTTGAGGCCTCATCTTTACAAACGTTTCGTTGCTGCTTATATTCCTGTAAGTGTGCTTCGGATCCAATTAGTCTGTAACGCCTCCACGGACGATTTCTTTTTCTGAAACAGACCTTCAAGTCCGGGTTTATCCATTTTGGACGTTTTTTATAACTATGTGGCTTATTACTGATGCTCCAGTTCTGTGGCTTAAAGTCTCAAATAAAGGTCTAGGTCGTGCGTCGCTCAATCCTTCGGAATGCAGGACGTGGACTCTGGGGCGTCCCTTATGACAATATTTTGCTTACGATTTATGGAAGAGCTCATTACTTTCCCGTCCGCGCTAGGATGATGTAATGCTACTGTAGTATTCGCGACGGATGCTGACACTTCGATATCTGACTGATTTTCGGCCGTCGAGGGGGTTATAGGGCATAGATTTTCATGTGACGTACTTGCTCCGGCAGTGGAGCTCGTACAATCATTACCCTGTTGCAATTTACTGCACGAAGGCTTATCGTGTCCTTTTCCGTCAACGGAATGGTTAGGGCACTTCCCAGTTGAGTTAGCCTTGTGATGAAGTGGAGTAACAGCGTTACATTCCAAGAATAACGGCGAGTCCTTGTAGTTTCTTACAGATCTTCTGAGGGTCACCCTGGCTTTCCTAACTTTAGTGTTCGATGATTTGGCAGGTTTAGTTACTATAGCAGGACGTGAAACCTGACCTATTTTTAATGCATAGCGTCGACCGCCTCGTTATCCACCGGAACTGATTTGTCTGGAGTTTCCCCTGGAGACATAACTCGCTTCCTCTGCCTGGCTGACTTCGAGTTTTCCGAGCCAGTGTCTTTATATGTAGGATGATCGTCACCTATCGATCGGAAATTTGGCGGATTATTTAATAATTTTATGTTACTGTGCTTCAGAATAGCCATAATGATGTCCGTCAGTAGTCCTGCTTCTCTTCTGGCGTCTGGGCTCGCCTTTCAAGTTCCTCACAGCTGACACAGCGACCGACAAGCCCAGAATCCGTCCCGTCTGTCATACAGTTTCCAGGGCCTCTTGGCAGTGAACCGGTTCTTATTTCCTGTCTTGTCTCTTGGAGCCTATTGTGCTTATGCCTCCTGGCCCCTAATGATTCCAGCGGCATTTTATCGCAAGAGACTACTAATGAATTAAAGACCGTTCTCAGCTGCTCTTCTGTAGTTAACAAACTTATCTGATCAGCGCCAGGCCGTTCGTTGGTGGTGTAGTGGTTAACACCCTGGCCTCTGGATCCTCAGGTAACGAGTTCAAATCTCAATTGCGTAACTTTTGTGAACACGTTTTTTTTTTATAACTGATTGGCTCATTGTTGAAGGTTTTCAAACTCGTCAATCAGTTCTAGAGTAGTGCAGGATGTTTTCAGCAATTGTTAGAATATATACTTTTCCAATTATGAAGTTAAATAGGAAACGACTCTGCCGATTGTAGTTTTCGACGTAGATCTCGGAAAAAGTCAATTAGGGAGCCTTGAACAGATGGGTGGACGATTGCAAATATCTGTTGGTGGAGAATTTGTGGTATATTTCACCGGCGCGAATGAGAGGACTAATTAATGGTTCTGTTCCTTGGAGAATTCGCGTAGAATCTTCCTCCTGATACCGTGGGAAATAACGTCGAGATCCGAAAATTCCAAGAATGGTAGAACTTTCGAGTTGGTGTACTCGAAATCCAAATCCAAAGGATACGTTGTGAGTTCGCAGTTTATTTCCACGCGAAGGTCAGTATGCCCTATACTATCAAATAAAATCAACTAAAACTCGGAGAGCTGGGAATTCGACTCAACTTCGAAGTACGCGCGTGAAAATTGGTACGCACCATTTGCGTGTAGTCATTATGCCAAAGACACCCATTTACTTCCTGATCGTTAATATACTAGCTATGCAACCTAAACATTCAATTGGTTATGGGGTTGGAAGCTTGCAATTTTTTCTAGAATTTCAGCAACTGCCGACATTATTTGCCCATGCAGCATTCGTAGCTCTTCCTTGACCACTTCCTTCCGGCTCCTTCACTTCTTACCACCCTCTTTCCTTTGATTTCAAGCATACTTTCCTCCGTGAGAATCAGCCAAGTGGTATTAATTTATCACATAGCCTGTCTATTTAAAAGGGAATAAGACACCTCTAAGTTGACAATGAACCAGTTAACCTTTATATTCCCGATCCTTTACACAGAGCTTCTTCTATAATGAAAAATGCACCATCAGACATTTAATCATGATTAAATTGCCATTATTTATGTACTACACGCACCTATAATCTTGTACCTAGGAGGTCACATCTGAGTCTGCTCTGTTTGCGCACACCATTTGCTCTGCGTTTGGTTTATATTACTACGGTTTCGCAAGAGATGTCATGATTTTCTTTGCAGGTATTGACACCCGTACGAAACTCGATTTTCTATTCGACCTACCTTTAATGAATAGTTTGTATTTCGTTACAGACGTTGACTACGCCGCCTTTGACTAATTCCCCGACTATCCTTTTCGGGATTCTGTAATTGCTGCTGGTTTGTCAGAGCCCCATCCCTTTGCGTTCTCATTCCAGGTCTGCCACAACACCTCCACGCGCACTAATTTAAATATTTATGATTCATTTGCCGCTCTGTATCAGCAAGAATCGCGCAAAGCCGTCCGGGCCCATAGCAGATATTGCGCAAGATAAGGGGCGCGGCCGCTTTATTCTTTGCACTTCAGGTCGTGCTAAAACCTGCTAGCGCCGAGTCGCCGGTAGCTTAAATAGATTTTTGAGCTTTCCATCACTGTGCACTTTATCTATAGCTTATTTTCACGGTTAATCTGCTTTTTTATTCCTTCTCCTTCCATGCAGCAGTTTTTTTCCTGAAAACCGTATGGGGAAATCTTGGGTCTTATCAGCCTCCCCTGCACCTTCATAGTGCTGTTCGGTCGTTTAGCAACAAAACATTATTGGTAGTGCTCAACTTCACTCCCAAACTATGTGCCAAGTAAATAATATCATCTGCCGTTGTTGGTTCCCTTCAAAATTTGACCCCGAAATAACAACTGCAAAGAACGTAACGGCTCTCGCTTCTACGGTTACGATTATTTGCACACTTTTCCATGACATTAAATAGCACGCAGGATAGTTAATTTAGATTATGAGCACTTTTCTGGCACAACTAAATGCCGGGTCGAGCAAACAGTCCCAACTGGCCATCAGAACAACCAATAAATACTCCAGGATAACGGATTGCCTATTAACATCACAGTTCCAAATTGTGGAGCTCGAAGCATATTCACAATTTAAGCATGTCTCATATATTTACAGGATGGAAACGGAGTCTGAAAAGATGGGGTAAGCCGGAAATAGGTCGAGCGCTCCCGCTTACGTCCAGATTCAGCTCAATTGCATATGACGGAACATAATTTTCTCCTGCTTCAGGAATATTAACTCATCTAGCCGTTGCCACTTGTGGGTGTCTTCACATATTTAGTGTCCTTCATAATGACCCCAGACTTTCATTTTCCGCATTATAAGTGCTTTGTTCCCAATCCGGAACGTTTTGAATACATGGAAGATTGTACGCCCTATCGGAGCAACAACACTTACAGTCAGATGCACGCGAACGGTAAACTGTCCGCACTTTTACGTGAAATTCTTTAACATACTGTATCCTTCACATGCCCTTTGCCCAACGTTAAGCTGGAGTTTGTATTTCCGCATTAAAATCAGTAAGCTTCCATTTAATGAAAAAGCTAATCCTTCTTGAACAAAGACATGAGTGCGGCCAAACTGATGGTTGCCTTCCCTACAGTAAGCGCTAAAATGAGCATGAGAGCGTATGTTGGGAGTTCTCCAATATACTCCTTGATGAGATCTGGGCATGGTTCGTTAAATAGTCTATTGTACCAACTAGCGGCTGCAATACTTCCATATTCAAAGTACTGACTTTTTCCGGGTTCCCAAAAATCCGATAGTTCCTTCTCCGACGACTTATCGTGTGGTCTTGTCCTAGGAGTAGCAAAACCGCAGTCTTTTGACCGTACATGGGGAAGACAGCAACTTGCCGGAACCCAAGCAAAGGGACTGTTCAAGGACTTCTTCATAGAGCCATTTATGTCAAGCCACCATTCGGTGTGCCATTGAGTAATTCCACAACATTCAAAGAAGTAATGAACATTATCCATTACGTTACTCGCTTTTTCAGAAATGTGATAGGTCTCTACTAGCTTCGAGACTGTTTGATTCAATACGTGTTCAATATAATATTCCCGGTTGGCAAAAACACGGTATAAAACGGTAACCTCCACAACCACGTTGATGCATGTTTGAAGAAAAAACATAACAACAGCCAAAACTTGCAGAGTCTTTGCTGTGTTTGCTGCAGTACTAGCGGTCAGAACAAGCCAGCAACCATAAATTCCACTAGTAGTCATTACTACCTTCAGCTGATATTCCGTAAAGATAAAAGCAAGGAAATGTCTGTGAAAATAAAATCCGGCCGTGACACTGAGAAAGAGTCCAGCGAAACTCAATATCCAAAAAATTACGCCGAACCAAATAATCCCATTTACATTCATTTCTTAACCGTGTCCTGGTAAATGGGGTGCAGGCAATGAAACTGCGCTAGAAATCGATCGGCAGTCGCTTAAAATTTCAGCAGAAGCTTGTCGTAGTAAATTTCATTTCCCTGAATATGAAGGGCTTATCCAAGATCTTCGATTTGAATCCATATATCACTGAACATTCGAAGGACTCCAGCAGAAATTTGTGCAAATTGTAAGCAAAAACCAATCAGCCGAGTTCTCTGTAGAGGTCGAAGAAGAAATGATGGGAAGGTGATGAGTGTCGGGCTCTTACAAAAGTTCATGAGTAGGAGACCGAAAACCAAAGTACTTTTCGGCCATCTATGTTTTGACGCATAACACAATGGTCCGCATCCCTTGACTGGCAGAAGAGTCGCTAATCAATGAAAATTAAACTGCCAATTGCTAACAGCAGGAATCCGCAATGAAAGACGCCAAAATCTTCCGATATATAAAAACACGGAGTGATATTCCCCTAACCTGTCACGAAATATTAGGCGCATACCTCTCACGACCGACAAGGCAAGCCAAACGTTCAACAGGCTTTCCAGAAACCACGCCAAATAATTTGCCAGTATTTAGTAAAAAACCGAGGTAAATATGCTAGATAAAAGCTTAATTGTTTTATGTTAAGAAAACACTATGTCCGCGATCATATTGGCTGCAAACTGGTATGTTACCGAGCCGGTGTAATTCTGTCAATCATACTTAGGAATGTTGCACGTAGAGCGGTTGCTCTTTCGGAACACCGAGGATGGATGTCGGCACACTATGAAAAAACACTTTATAATCAATAAAATACCCCTCCTAGGAAAACGGAGTTCAAATGTGCAAAACGTGAGCGAAATAACAAACGTTAGGCGCCGTATATAAGTTGGAAATGATCAGGGTTACGGACACGACGATCACTACGCGTAGGTGGAGATTAAAGAGAAGCAATGGGAAAATTAATAGTAGTCGCTGTCCATATGGAAGTTGTGGCAGGATTTTAGAGGTGGCGGCGGTTGATGGCGACGGACTGTCAATAGTGTGTGCACCTGTGGTGGTGTCGGTTTAGGTGAGCTAACCTGAAGGAGCTTCTGGCGCTTAAGGAATACAAATTCCCAGTCCGGACCAAATAACGACCAAAGTTCAAAAGGAACTTGTTTACAAACTCTCCAGGCTGCTTCCACATATTTAACAATCGTTTTTGGCAAAGATATTCACCCCTCTGATTTTGGTGTCCTACAAGGCACCGTTTTAGGTCCTCTTTTGATCTTGCTTTACGTAAGTGATATCTTGGCGGCAGTTAATCATTCGCAACCATTTATTTATGCCGATGATCTCAAATGTGTATGTTCTTTAAATAAATCTACGAGTCTTCATTGCCTGGAGCAAATCCATGCTGACTTGCTTGTTCTCTCAGCTTGGAGCTCAAAATGGCCAATGGAATTCTCTCCGTCTAAATGTCGCTATATGTGTTTTGGACCTGACAGACTATCCAACCAGTGGTCTTTCAAGGCGCACCTATGACTGAATGTACCACCATCAATGATTTAAGTTTAAGCTACACTAATAATCTTAATCACTCGCCGCACGCTGACAGAATTACAGCCAAAGTTGCCCAGATTTGTGGCTTTATTTCTTACAATTTCTACCTTCCTGAAATTAAATTAAGACTTTATCGTATGTTTGTACTTCCCATTCTCGAGTATTGCTGCTCATTCTTTGGTTTGCTGAATGAGGCTAGTCGTTTAAAAATTAAAAAGGTACAAAGACGTTTTTCTAAAAAACTTTTAGATAGAGAACATCCAAATATCTCCCACTCAGATAGATACCAGCTAATTAGCCTAAAATTTTTATGGGTTCGGAGACTAGACGCAGGCTTCTGTCTCCTCTTTCTCATTAGTAATAGTTCCAATCTTCCTTGGATTTCAGCACTTACCCCTAGTAGTTGCCCATAAAATCTTCGCAACTAATCCTTGGTTATACCTCATCCAGCTTCCTCCACCTCTAAGCGTTCTCTATTTTTCGCTTCCAGATGTACTTTCCTCTGGAATAACCTTCCAATAAATATAGTCTTCAGATAATCTACATACCCTTAAGAGAAGGTAACGCCTTTATATGAACGCTGAGTCGATTAAACTTTTATTTTCCTCATCCTTCCCGGACAACTTTCTCTATGACACTGAGAAAGGGCCACCAGGAATTTAGGACGCCGCCATTAACTTTCCGTATCTGTTCACATTTCCTTCCTTTGTGAGTCGTATCGCATCCTAAGATCCTTCACCAGATATGATAATTTTTTCAATTTTTAAGTTCATGCATCTTGCCCCCACAGAAGGCGCTCCATCGACGCTCTTGGCGAAACCTTCTGTATTCGCCATATACTAGTAGTCTAGTCGCATCACCCTTGCCCCATCCTCGGATGGATCCGGATGAATGTAACTGACCGCACCTGGGTTCCTATCGCCTCGAGACTGGCTTTAATTTTTGCCACTTTTTGCCTTATTCAAGGCCAAATACAGGCCAGTCCCGAGTGACCCGCATACTTACCCTTCATCAAATCCATTATACAATGCCATATGCAGCTGACGTTTATTTCTGTCGATTATAATCCATTATATACCGCCACATGCAGGCCAGTCCTGCCCGCATTTCTCTGTTATTGCTTTTTCATTGAGGGTTTTTTCTCCTATAAAATTCATCCAATCATCTTTAACTTTTTCCGAGGAGTTTTTTTCACCCCTCGCTAATCATTTTTCTTAACGTCCTAATAATTCAAAAACTATGAATTGCACTATGTACTGATTTTGCCTACCTCGTCTAAAATTCGCATGTAACCAATTACAAGTGTGGGTTTATAACATAAACTAATAAATAAGGGCCGCCGAGCCTGAAATGCCTTTGTAGCAGAGCTGTGGGATGGATCATCTAAAAGTCTCCCATGATGATCCTCGGGTAAAAGGATATCTTCGACAGTGTCTAGCGTGGTTTTCGACAAAACCACCCCTATTTAACAAACGCACTGTTTTCAATGCAGCAGTGGTCCTGCTCGTTAGACGATGACACAAGAGTCGATGTCGTTTGGATTGAACTCACGAAAGCATTTGATAGTATTCAACGCCGCTGGTTACTGTACAAAATCCTGGAAACTGGAATAAGGGAAACATATTAATTGCAACCTTTAATTTCTTCAGGAATTAATCGCTAGCTTGGGACAAATAAGTTTATTTGAGACTTTAAGCCACAGATCTGGAGCATCAGTAATCAGCCACATAGTTATAAAAAACGCCCAAAAGGATAAACTCGGACTTAAAGGCCTCTTTCAGAAAAAGGAGTCGTCAGTGGAGGCATTGCAGACTAACTGGCTCCGAATTACATTTACGGGAAAATAAGCGACAACGTAAAGTTGGTAAAAGTGAGACTTCCAAACTGAACATACTGCGAAATTCGTTGGAACATCCGAAAATGCGATATTGCTATATACGAAGTACTAAAAGGACTCAGGAGCTGATCCCTGCTCTAAGGTCTGCAGATGGAAAAGTGGAGACAGATGACAAAGTCAGAGCTTCCCTACTTTCTAATTTCTTTCTGTCCGTCTTCAGCCGAGAACCTAGTTCTATATTTGCCTATCCATCCGTTTGCCAACCGACGTCTCCTCCTAGTACCCTTCCCCCTCCTACACCCCCTTACCCTCCTTAACCGAGGAACCACTCTCTTCATCGACCATAGTTAGGGCCGAGCTACTCCCGCTGAAACCTGCCAAATCGCCTGGCCCAGATAGAATTCCCGCACTAGCACTTCGGAACTTGCTAACGAACTGTGCAAGCCCTTATCCGCAATATTTCAAAAGTCATTTGAAGACGGCGAGCTCCCGGAGGAATGGAAGTGCGCACTCATTACTCCGATCCATAAAGGAGGCTGAAGACTTGACTGTGGAAAGTATCGTCCCGTCAATCTTACTTGCATCGCCTGTAAAATAATGGAACGCATTATTAAAAGACACTTGATGAAATACCTGGAGCAGAACAAAATGTTGTGTGATGTCCAACACGGCTTTCGTCCAGGGAGCTTCTGCCTAACGAGTGTTCTTTACTCTTTATTATTATTATTATTATTATTAAGAATACAGTCAGATGATCCATGAGTTGGGGCCGCCGTGCTTGTAGACCTCAGCAGGGATCGCGTCCGATCCGGGCGCTCTCCGCCTGAGAGCTGCTGCACGGCCCTCATTGTTTTATGAAGAGAGGGTGAGAGATCGAATTCCACGTTGGTCTCCACTTGCGGCAAACGGGTGATGGAGGCGTCGGAGATGGTGGAGGGGCGGTTGAAGACGTCTGGGAAGTGCTCGGTCCGTCGCCGAAGAATGTGTGTCATCTCAGTGCGTAAGGCACTGCCGTCGGCGCTGATAAGAGGAGTTGTACCTTTGGTTGGCGGACCGTAGACGGCTTTGGTCGAGGCGGAGAAGTTCTTCTATCTTTTGCGTTCCGCGTATGCTTGGATCCCCTCGGCCTTGTGAGCCGTCCAGGTGTCCGGCACCTCGCGCAGCCGCTGTTGCATGAGGCGACGACTATGGTAGAAGGCGGCTCCGTTTTCGTCGGTGGGGCGGTTGATGTATGTTTTGTGCAGGCGTTTCTTCTCGGCAAGCAGATTGCTGATGGTGGCGTATTTATCGTCGAAACATACACATACATCTACCAGGAAGCCCACAGGGAACGCCGGGAGACTCAGTGATGAGCCGACGCTCTCGCAGCTGTGGGGGCAGTGGCAGAATACCACCGAAACACGCGTCTGGGCTCTTTGCTATTACCCTGCTGTCACGTATGGCGTATTTGGCTATCTCAGGAACCTACTACATTGGACTGAAGACTTCTTGGCCGACCAGCCGCAGTCCATGTTCATTGACAATGCGAAATCAGCATTAATGCCATTTGTGCATGAAATACCTCAGGGTTGTGTTTATGTATATGTATACTGAAGGGTTACAGGCAGAGCCCTTGATGACCCTATTTATGTACAGTGCTTTCGCAGATTCATACTCAAAAATAAAATAAAATTGCAGGCATTTAAAATGTGATTAGGTCACAGTTCAATCGTAATCATAATGTAGTGCATGGGGTCACTGTAAATTAGTGCGGAAGATTGTATATGACAGATTTTACAAAACTGGCTTTGCATAGTCATGCTGTACAAGCCGATTTCTGTCGAAAACTAGACGAGCAAGTTTTCTTTTAAACACACAAACTGTATCAGCCGTCACCATCTCGCTTGGAAGCGAGTTCCACGGCCTGACAACCCGCTGGCTGAATGAAAATTTTCGTCGGTCTAAACGCGTGCGCTCATTCCCGACTTTGTATGCATGGCCGCGTAGTTGGTTTGTACGGGCGAACTCGAAGAAGTCCTCTGCTCTTAATGAGCAACCCTGTCTGCGGACTATCCGGAATGTCCAAATTAGACTGCAGTTTATTTGTCTATAAGAGAGAGGGAATAGGCCAAGCAAATTCAGCCTCTCCTGATAAGACAATTGTTTCAGACCGTCGACCATCTTTGTCGCTCTGCGTTGCACCTGTTCGAGTAAGTTGATATCCTTCCTCATCCATGGTGAAGCTGCTGGCATTCCATACTCTAGATGAGGTCTTACAAAGACACCAAAGAGTCTTTCGAAAAGTTCGGGAGGAAGTATTTTAAATGCACGTCTGATCCAGTGTAGAGTACTAGTTGCCTTCTGGACCATCTTTCTACAGTGTTCTGATGGCGATAGATTTGTGCCCGGGCTATTAAGGACTAGGCTTATGTAAGCGACTAAAAATGGACTTGACTTCGAAGGAGTTATGTTTTCAGATTAAATCAAAGTATGGTGAGAGATAAGATGAGAAACCGATGAACGGAATCAGAAAGGAGGGCTTAACTGTTTATGTGAGCGATCCAATGAGTGACTGCTGAAGTTAAGGCCTGAGAATTGTGTCTCACTGCGGCTCAAACCAAGGAAGAGAAGACTGATTGATGATTCTCATGAACACTTCCTCAACGGAAGTTGCCGGCCAAACATTACCGAGCAAAAAGACCTCTGAATCACAATTTTGTCATCCTTGATCCGTTCTGGCAATGCGTTAGAGCGGTCAAAAGGGCAGCCGATGTCCTCTTTGTCATGAAAGCAACTTTCGTCGATACAGACGAAGAGCTATTTTGATTTGTACACGGAGTTTTCTTCGTTCGAAACTGAAATATGCAATCCCCGAGTGACGCTTTTGGTTGAAAACCAATGCTGTTTTGCCGAAAAGGCTTAAAACGAGGGTGATCAGAATCGTGAAGGACCAAAGGACCTGATCCTACAAATGCAACTTAGTGGTATCCCACGAGAGGCTTTCTCGGAGTTTAAACGCATGATATCTACTGCACTGACTATCTATGTCCTGTGTCCATTTTGTTGAGGAATCACGCATTCTGCCTATTCCTAAGCTTGGCCAGCCTACGTCATTTGATAACTTTCGGCCAATAAACAATTTCCTGGCAGTTTCGAAGGTCTTGGTGACATCAACCATGTGTCGCTTGACAGTGAATAATTTACTGAATGCTGCTCAACATGGATTCCTCAAAGCCCAATTTTGTGACACCTGTCAGTTCCCTTTCTTTGATCATGTTCTCTAATCTAGGGACAATATTTTTGCGTTGTACACAGTCTATTTCGATTTCACTAAGGCTTTTGATCGTGTTGACTATGCTCTTCTACTCTTGATACTTTTCCCCTTCGGAATAGATGGCAAATTTCTGGACTTTATGTCCTTTGGCTTGGGCGCTCGCACACAACGAGTTAAGATTTTCAATGCTGCCGACAACCCCACATGTGCGAGGAGTGGAGTCATTCAGGGTAGTTTACTCGACCCGCTATTATTTTGCTTTTTTGTTAACGATGTACCAGAATTATTTCAGAATGGTAAGTCCTTTACGTGTGCCGATGATTCGAAAGTTGCATACAAGTATAAGCCGGTAGATCGTGACATCATGCTCGAGCTCCGAAAGAGCAATCTACAGGCCTTTGCCCAGTGGTGTCGCACATGGTGCCTTTCACCCTCGTGGCATAAATGCTCGGTCATGATGGTTGACGAAGACCATCAACCTCAACTAAGTAGTGACAGTCACGATATAAATGTGCCTGGGGTAATAAAGAACCTGTGTGTACCATAATCCAAAAGTCTCAATCTTTTGGACCACTGCGCCTTGATAGTCTCCAAAGTAACGGTCCCCGCGAGGTTTTCCTATTTCGCATTAATCTATTCTATTCTAAAAGAAATGTTGACTTAAAACACACGATGCATTTCCAACGATCCCCTTTCTGGGCTGCTGTCATTTCACTGGCTGCAATTTTTTCCTTTAAACCAACCAACCTATCCAAAAACACAATGTCCTATATTTACCTCCACAGAAGTTATTTACGGCTAGCCGGATCTATCTCTTATCATCCCTTGACAACGCCTCTAAATTGGCGTTTGATACAGTTATTATTATCACTATTTCTATTATTAAATAATAATAGCAATAATAATTTTTATTCAAGAACCATGGGGGTCCTTTAATAGAAAGTAAGAATAACTTCTCCATGAATTTGGAATTTTAGGACAGGTATACAGAATCTATACAACACTTGACTCATGGTTATCGAATAAGTACTATGTTACGAAGAATGATGAGTGAGCAGTGAAAAAACTCCTAACAAATAACCAAAATGAATATGCCTGGATTAATAATATAGGACAACAAAACTGTCGCTCATGGAAGGGTAAAAAGCGGACAAGATCGGCCTGCATGCGGTAGTGTATAACGGATTTCGTGATAGTTTAGTATGCGGATCAGACAGGACTGACCTGCATGCGGTATCCAGTAAAGGTTTCAAAACGAACATCATCAAAGCAGAATTCATGGGCCGGATGTGACCATTCATGTCAAAGTGGCGAATAGAAAACCAGTCTCAAGGCGATATGAACCCAGACGCGATCGCCTACAGTCAACTTCGAGTCCAGCCGAGGAGGGGGCAAGGGAGATGCGATCAGACTACTAATAGATGGCGAATGCAGAGGGTTCCGCCAAGAGCGTTGATAGAGCGCATTTTGAGAGGGACGCGATGCATGAACTGAAAAATCGAAAACTTCCTGAAGTCCGATAATTTGGCATCTATGATCTGTGGCTTCTGCAAATTTTTATTGCGAGTAAAAACCACTCGCAATACACGACTGACTATGGCGGGATCCCTACTTTTGGTGAAAGTCTGACTGTTTAGCTAATAATAACAATCGTACTAGTGGTAGTAGTAGTAGTAGTAGTAGTAGTAGTAGTAGTAGTAGTAGTAGTAGTAGTAGTAGTAGTAGTAGCAGTAGTAGTAGTGGTATTTTCTGCCAGCTTGCAGGCAGTGTCAGGAATGTATAATAGGACTTCTTTGTAAAGACTACCGTTTTTTAATGTTGTAGAAATTGAGTGGTCGCAGGGCGTGCATCTATTGCACTAGAGGTTAATGAAGAATTCTCCAATGCTCGCTCTTCTGGGTCCTCTTCTGCTAATGTCTGGCGACAGACCTTGATCATGCACTTCGAAACCGTCCTATGTAGCTTACGGTTAAAGGCCCAACCTTCTATCTTTACCAGTGGACGACAGCATACAGATCGTGTAGGAACCCAAAAGAGTTTTTTTCACCCCTCAATCATCATGTTTCTCAATGGACTTCTAATTCAGAAACTAGGAATTGCATTTTGTAAAGATTCGGCCTACCTCGTCTAAAACTCGCATGCAAAGTTATTTTAACTTGCTTTGATGGGACCCCGACGTGTCTTTAATAAAAATTATCTATCTATCTATCTATAAGTCATAATGCTGACAGTGCAACTGGGTACACCCTTTTCTAGCTAAGTCTTCCATGACATTTCGGTTATCCATAAATTCACGACAATTTTTAAGCGGTCCAACTATGCTATATATCGAAACCGTCTTTTTCGACCCCCAGTAAGAATACAAGACAATGGCCGAAGGAGAAGATTGGGGATTATTTAGGACGACGCGAGAACGGGTTAGCGTTCAGCCGGAAGAGGGAACAGCG